CAATGCACCTTAATAATTCTACGGCAGTGGTTTAAACTTGAAAGGAGACATCGGTTAATAAAAGTTTGTCACAGGCTGATTCAACATTTGCGGTGTGCTGAGCCCATGCCTCTTCAACATCAAGCTTCTTTTTATGGCAATAAAACCGAGAATGTTTTCAAGCATATGAAATATCTTGAAGCTTATTCTCAGCATGGTCTATTATAAGTATGCGGATGTCCCATGAAATACACTTATGTCACTCTAATTCCATGACTGTGGTGACAGGAGGCCTACGGTAAGTCTGCAAAACAGACGCGTCATAAACAGATAAGTGCAAGAATGTATGGACACTGAAAGCAGATGCAAAGATAATCATTGGCATGTTTTTAGGAGTCTCAAAATTGTTTACAGATGAGTGATTCCTGGACGGTAGTCCAATACAGAAAAAGGTCAAGCCAATTGTTAATTGGTGGGCATCACAGATATCCTTTCACATTGTTTCAACAGCAGAAGGCATTATGGAAAAGCATCAGGTCTTAAACCCTTTGATTGGATTGGGTGGCAGAGGTACAACTCCATAGCACTCCACAGGCGGGTCTTGTAACCGTCATTGTTTTATAAAAGGCAGAGTCAGGACGCAAAATGGTCCCTAAGCTTTCACTGTCATAAAAAATAAGGTGTGCAAATGTGCAAAGTCTGAGTGTACCTCCTGGGAAACTGCTAATCAACAGACTGAAACAATCAACAACCACCTTCCTAGATTTTCTGCGGGTTTACATTTTCTTAGGTACCAAATCTTTCAAAAATGTGTGTCTTCTGAGTTATACTGTAACTGAATGAAGCTTGTGCAATACGACCTTTCCACCAAACTCACAATCCGAGGAAAAACCACAAGCAATCTTCTGCCTTTATGACCTGTGGGACTAAGGTGAATTTGAAAATGCCAAAGTGTAATCCAATGACCAATGGAGGAGGAGGCTGATGTGATTTTCACACGTCAAACAGCAGTGGGATACTCCGAATAATAAAGATCCTATGACAATGGCAACATGTTAAGATGAAGTTAAATGGAGGCAGCCATGGAGAAGCACATCAGTAGGGTGGTATTTTTCAAGAAACCCACAGCTAAGATCAAATACAACTTTGCAATTTGTGAATTTGACAAATGACTATTTCCTAACAATAGCATTAAATAACAGTGATAACGATCAAGATCAAGATGAAACCTTCAAGTCCTAACCCTGCAAAGGTTAAGGAGATGAAGAGAAACAACGAAAGAAGGAGAATCAAGATCAAGAAAAGGGTCAATTTTGCTATTTCGGTTTAGACTGAGGAGAAAAAACCACAGCAACAGGTGTCACTGAGTGATGCTCTAAATTCTGATTTCAAAGTTTGAACTTTCTCATTCTTTTTAAGCCTTACACACCACGGTCGATCATTTCAATTCAATGTACTGTAGTTTGACGGATTAGACACTTTTATTAAAATCTGATGTTATTTATGTTGTAGCCATTGAAAACATTTGGTGTTTATAGATCTATTGCCACAAGTGCACACAAATCTCTTTTATTTCATCTAATACAGCACAGGAGGACTGGCTCGGGGGTTCATTTCTAAAAGAAATCAAAACAGTGCTTTCAAGTTTCATATACAGATAAAAAATATTTTCAAAGGAAATTTTGCTCATTACTAATAATATGGTGATTTGTCCACTGCTTATTTTTAACTTCAGTTCTCAAGTTAAAGTACTGTATTTACAGAGTTTATTCTACAACGCACTCTTTAATTCATTAGCTATGTCTAGTGCAAGTGACATCTCGTTGTGCCTGCATTATATAATAAGTAGCAGGAATATATTATTTTATCTCTAAAAAGTTGAGAAAGTTTGAAGAGGAAGACACTTATTTTAAGTTGTCAGCTCGCATGGAGCTGACGTTCGGAGTAACTCTTTGAATTGACACACAGCTCCCACAGCACCCATAACCGGGCTGTGGAAATAGAGAGGAACAGGCAGTGCCGCCACATCAAGGTTTTGAGAAAGGCCTGTCTCAGACAGCTGTACAGTGAGTGACATCAGGATACTGTAAATGTGCAATTGATATATAAGTAAATGTTATGAGAATTCCGTGTTTTCAATGATTTCTTTTGTGATGTGGTTTACCTTTAAACCTGCCTTTGGCTGATACTGTTTCTTGTGTTGTAGTTAATTGCATTAAAAAGCTGCCAATTATGAAACAGGCTGCCTTCCACTTCAAGTCTCGCCTGCTGACAGTTCTACCACAGTTGAGGTTTTTTTTTTTGCCAGTTGTTGAACAAGATGACCCAATCATATTCGTTTTAACAGAATGCTATGTTTCCATTAATAACTACAAAGTAATAATTACAATAAATAGGGATACAAACATCTTACAAGTAGAGGGCAATGAATAGGTTTTCTCAAAGAAGATGCAATGACTGCTAATTGCACTTTAAAAGGTGGCACGTCATCGTAAAATAAACACCTGAAACACATTTTACAATGCATTTCAAAATAAAAATGTAATAAAAAACACCAGATGTTGCTGTATATTTTATACATTTGTTATTTGTCTTTTTTGACTGCCATTTTTTTTTTAAAGTTGAAGATCTTATTTTATAACATTTTGTAGTTGCATGGATTCATGATAAAACACAACTTTCTAAACTCTGACCATATACAGTACGTTTGGATTCTGTCCTGTTCCTTATTGCTAAGTGATTTAATAGACCTGACAAAGCTCTTGCACCTGAGGAAGGTCATGATAACACATGCAGACTATTTCTGAGCCTGCTCATCCTCTGTGAGGTCTTGTTAACTGATACCAAAGGCATAGAAGGCAACAAATCATTTAACATTAATTCTTGATATTGTGTGAGTGTCACTTCCTAAGAAAAATAACTTAAAATACTGTCTCACCGAGGTAATGTTTGATCAATGACAATGACTTCGAAACCTTTGGTGGCTGTGCTGCATTTCATTTGGGAAATAGCGAAAATAAATATATTAAAAAAATATTTCAACAGTCAGAACACTAACAACATTTGAAAACTTTATACCCTATCTTGCTGTTAATTTGCTGGCAGCAATGCTCAATTTAATTGCTGGACTACAGTACTCTAAATAAGTGTTTATGTTTTTCCATTTACAAATTCTTCTTCAGTTTCTTGCATATCTTTTTAATAAGAATTCTTTTTTTTACGGCACAGCTCTTAGCAACCACATCTGAAATATAAGACAATGCTTCAATGATCATTGACCTAAAGCTTTTTGAGTTATTTAACCATCACAGTACAGAAAAACAACTAGAGCATCTCCTGCAATTTCAAAGTGAGTGCACTAAAGTGATTGCTTTTCACTTGGTGGTTTATAAAACCCAAATGCTTTTAAGTCAGCTCTGTCCATTTCAAAGTTGAATATAAAACAAAAAAAGACGGACTCTACTTCAGCACTTTGATTTTAAGGCTGCGCTTACAGAAGGGGCATAATCCAACAGGGTAGATATTTGTAGATGGAGCTGCTTGCTGTCACTTAAGACACCTCTGGGCGACAGGCATGAAGCCAAGGTTACCTCAAGGAAGAGCATGGACTCGTATTGATTGTCTATAAACAGCCTTATCCTGCTTCCTGACATCTTAATTAGTGCCTCTTATGTGGATTTAAAATTACATCAGCATATACTGTACAACAACCATTTACAGTACTTGTGGCCTTCTTTACAACCAATGTTATTGCAGCGGTCTATCTCAAGTCTATTACGGAGACATCTTTAATTTAACACTTTTTTTCCCCCCAGTTAGGATGTACATTATGAGTAATTAAATCATTTTTAATTAAGATGTTATAACAAAGTATGGGAAACAACTCATTAACAGTTACCAGGTAAAGTTCAATGACACCACAAATAAATTGGGTTTGGAACTCTAAAGCGAACAGGATAGAAAAACGTTACATACTTCATAAGGTCTGAAAGGCCATGTCTTTCTTCCTGAAATTGCATTATCCCTGCCTGTAAGGATTTTAAATAGCAGCAGGTTTTGAAGCATACCATTTACTCAAGAGACCATCAAACATCAGTAGTTTTTTTATGTCATTTCCTGTCTACTGATAATGATAGAATAGGCTGACTTCAAATCTATCACAGAAGTAAATTACAACCATAAAAAAGATCTTACATTTTTTCTGTATTATTGCAACTATTAATACTTTTACCAGTACTGCTAATAACAGTGTTGTTTTCTGGGTGCATGAAGAATTTACTTCTTTAATTTCCTAATTAAAACATCAGTGATTTATATTCACATTTACAGTACATACCATAAAATGTATCCCAAAGAAATTAAATGAAACAAGCACTTCTGAATGTTTTATTTCCCTTAAGATCCATCGCAAAAGATGCAGTAATATGACTTCCCATAGAACTATTGTACCTTTGTAAATTTTACTTTCACTTGTTTTGCTTAAACAGGATAAACTACTTATCAGCAACAGCAGTGCAAAGTGTTTCCAACCATTTTTCTAACCACTGCCTAGAGATAGTTCCACTTTTCTTGCCTCTTTGAGCACAATCTGGCACACTGGACTGCAGGAGGTGTGCTTTGTTCATTTTTAAAGCGAAGCTCAGCGGCAGTTAAAATGCTCTTCATATGCACTTCAGTCACCTCCTTCTGACTGAGGAGCGGCTGAGCAGTATTAGAGGAAATGAGGAACAAGAGAATCAGAATTCAAAGTCTAGTCACCAAACACTGGAGAGGATTTCCTTTAAAACAAAATACACTGGCATACAGTTAATATACAACGTGGTACACTAGAAGGCAAAACACATTGTGTTCTTACAAATATTAATGATTCTGGATCACCATTTTTTTTCTTTGCATATGCAAGACTCATGGTCAGATTGCATAATAAGTTTAAAATGTATTTGTTGGGATGAAGGCTTAAGACACTTTCTGGAACAAAAAAAACCCAAAATGCTTGTGAACATACAGCCTTTTTGACTCACCATTGTCGGACGTGAGCACTGTTACTGCATTGGTTGGCGTGGCATCAGACTTCATCTGCCCATTCTCAAATGTGTAGTTTTCAGTGTCCTGTAGCTGCCAGTTGAGGCCAAACAGGTGCATGGCTTCAAGATAAGAAAAACACAAGCAAGCTCATGTGGTGTCTGCAGCAATTGGAGAAATAACCTCATCACTCAGATTAAAATATGTTGGAAGATCAATTTAGGAATATTCTCAAAAGATACAGAAACTGAGGTCAACATTAAAAGATGAAGTAATCAAAAATTCATGTTAATGAGAAGAGTTATTAAGATTTTCATTGCACACAAAACCCGTGATTTTCTTGTGCAGTTGCCCAAGGAAATTTTATTTCTAACTTGCCTTTTCCTTGTCCTTGTTGGCTACAAATAAAGCTCACTGGAAGACAGGCTGAGAGAACTTTTACTCTCCTTTGACATTACTCAGATGCTATCCTATCGCATGCATGATTTGCTTGCCATCAATTAGATAATTAATCTGTAATTTCAAAGCGAAGATAAAATTAATGCAATACACATTTACAATTTAGCCTTTCACATTAGAGCTCAAAATCAATATAAATCTATCTGCTACATAATGTTTAATGTGCATTACATGAGGTGATAAATATTCAATTGCTTTCATTAAACTGAAACAATATCGCAAAGGAGGAAAGAGGAATTGTTCCTGAAGTGTCGAAGCTGGTTTTTTTCCATGATCTGCAATGTATGCGAAGTAAATCCAGGTTTTAAGTTAATATAAAGTTCTTTTCCAAATTAATTTGACATTTTAGTCTTCATGGAGATGTAGACTAATATGCATGAACACTTATCTGTTTTTTATACTTGATTAAGTAACTAATTAAGAAAATTCAATTAAGCGACTAATGAGGGATGGGGGTAATTCCTGACCATGTTCAACTTGCAAAATCTTGGCACATCAGCCACCATGTGGACTAGCAGACCATGTGGCACGCACATGTGAGTCAGACAGAACAAAGTGTGGCCTCATACTGACAGAGGTAGTACATGCAGGCCAATCCACAGGGATAGAGAAGCCCAAATTCTGTGTAATATGGTATCTTTAAAGTACACATTAAACCCGCTATGCATGGCTCCAATTAGCCTTACTTATAATGTGCTCCAAGAACATTCCATTTAATAAGAATATAAAATCCAAACCAGCTTATGCCCATATGCTGAAGTCATTTAACAATTCTCATGACAAAATTTATGGGAAATGTTTGGTGGCCTCCGTAAGGTAATGAGGCAAACGAAACATGTCGACCATTCAGGAGCAATCCAGCAGCACAATTAGAGGGCTGGATCTGGAACAGTGAGGTTTGGCCCCACCACAGACCCAAAGTGATTTGTGCTCTGTGGTTTGACATTGCATTGGACTTTTATTCTTGTGGTCAGTGTCTCTTTTATAGGGCAAACAACTCTCCTTTTTTAGAAACCTCCCCTACAGCCTCATTAAAGTAAAGCCTGGCCATGTTCTCTAAGTTAGATGGAGTAGAGAGAGCGAATGGTCATACTTCTGTGCACCCCTTAGCCTCACAAATGTTCAGAAGGGCTCAGGAGAGACAGTGGAAGTGGAACTCTGAGAATATCACACATCACATCGGTCACATTTTAATCGGTATGATTAAAATAACCAAGACAAATGACCATTCCTGGCGGAAAGACTGAATACTATAGCACAGTTTCAAAAGGTCTTCCAAGTTAAACATGTAGGAAAAAAAACACATGTGGCTATCATCCTCTGGGTCAGGCCTTTAGTACTGTAAAACAATAGCTTCAGATTTGTGGAAAATGAGTCATGTTGAGGGCATATAAACCGAGAAGCAGGTCAGGAAACTAGATAATTTATATTAAGTATGAAAGCTTTTTTTACTGGGGTGTGGTTGGGTAGGGTATAAATAACAGGAAAAACAATCTGCTTTTTCAGAGCCCAGAAGCATAGGGATCTATTACACAAATATATGATACATACAGCAAAAGAAGTTAAACTTTTTATTTTTCCACAGAAGGAAAGATAAGGGAATAAGATTTACTTTACACGGTTGATCAATGATAAATCATACTAGAAAAGAATTCAGAATTTTTAGGAAATCTGCAACAACAGTGCACAAAACTCAATATTTAACAAATAGGTATCTGTGGTAATTTTTAATGTTAATGCATTTCAACAGTGGGGCATTACCACTAACATTGAGGTACACAGAAAAGGGTGAAGTCAAGAACCTTCACTTTACTAAAATAACAAAAGAGACATTCAGCTTGAATTGCACGGGGAGGAATGCCCCTATCGCTGGCAGATAAAGTTTGGAATTTAAAAAATCCACCATCCTAAAAAGAACTAAAGAGAATAAGGACAGAGTTTTATGGGGTGAAGGAAGGCAAGGCCAAGAAAAACAGAGCATTGCCCATTTCCAGCTGGATTTGAGAGACTGGTGAGATTAAAAGTGTAAACACTTGAAGGTATAATATTTAGAACAGCATACATAAAATGACTATGAACAAAACTGACAGACAGAAATGAGAATTTTTACAATGGCATCTTTCCTCGTAAAAAAGCAAACTACAAAAATTTAACTTTCGGTTACACCAGCACATTACCCGAGTGGCACAACAATACAAGGGAGAGAATTTGGAGTATTTCTATCTGAGGGAGAATGCAAGATACTGTACTCCTAACATCAAATGCTGTGATTCCAAATTGGCCATCTTTCCATTAACTTTGCCCTGACCTTTTTTAAAGTCCTGTGCGATAACGAAGATTGTCTTCAGCAGCCCACACACATTGGCTTGGTCTCTACGCTGACTTTGCCAAATGCAGTGCCAATTATTGCTAATTGTGGTGGTGTTATTTGCAAGATGTAGGCTTCTGTCTCCATTCTCTTATCTTAGTCTCTATCTCATTCATTTACGTTTCTCACCTTATATGTGCTAATGAGGTTTGTGCAAAACACTTTATTGCTGAGCTGTCCAAAGGCAAATGATGACTGCAGGTCATAACCAAATAAAGCCAGTATGAGAGACCACACAAAGCTAAAATGGATCAGTATCGAAGAATTTAACACAGTCACCACTCACAAAAAGCGCAAGCATATATAATATACAAAAGAGAGATATGTAAATATTCAGAATACAACTTTTGCTGTCAGATGTTGATATTATATTGTTTTAAACTCTCTTTTCTGTGAGCAGTGGGCTTTCAGTCTGGAGAGGAACAAACAATATGCAAAACAAAATAAGACCAGCTATCTTTGAATCAAGGAAAACAACATTTAATTGCTCTACAAAAAACACTTGTGAAGCTGTGCTAGGTAGGAAATGAAACTAAATCATATCTGTCCACAACAAAACTAAGACAAGCGCACGTAGTGTATTTTTTTCCCCCTACAGTAAGGTGCCCCTCTCAGTTTGACATTTTCTCTCAGGAAGACATCTCTATTTTTTTCTTGTTCTGACAGGTGTGCGTATGTGGAGAATGAACAGGATCCAAAGGACAGTGTGGCATGATAAAAAACAAGCAGGGAGGAGAGGAGTTTAAATTTAAGACACGATGCTGACTTGCCAGGTGTCTTAAAAGAAAGATAATAATAAAACCCTAACCCAAGGAGGCATCCCTAATTGAGGGAGAGTGCCAAGAGAGACCTGCATCTATTTAGTTAGTGCAGAAGCTAGAAGCATTACAGTGACAGGAACTGTAGAGGTCAGTAACTACAACATCAAACCTCTCGGTAAGTAGGAAATGCAATGATAAATGTTGAAATGGAAGAGCCCAGATCCCTCCCAGCTCAGCTATTACTTTTTTTTATTACATTGTCTCTCTGCTGGAACAAATACAGAAAATAATCTTGTCACCAAAATCCACAGCTTCTGCGCTTGGTAACCCACCCCCCCATCTCCCCAGAACTGAAATGACGTCTTTCTCCACAGTGCTTAGGACAAGTGAGCAATCGGATAGGAAACGTGTTTCAGAAAGTCAAGACAAATTTTATGGGTTTTTCTTTTTGCACTGTAAAAGGAGGGGGCATTTCTTCCACACAAATATATACAGTAGGTGCTGAAAGAATTTGAATTTAACCTGGAAACCAAAGCAAATGCATGTATTTAAACACCCTCTTTAAAATATATTATTGTATGTGATCTCAAGGAAAGGTAAGCGCATTTTCATGCACCAATATTCAATAGATTCTAGCAGACTACAGGGACATTCTGCTGTTTCTCAGTCACAGGACCCTCTACTGCTCATATCGGTTGATTAAGATCTCTCCCTGTCATTTTTTGGCTTCCCACCATAAATGTCTTTTAAGATTGCATTAAGTGTAAACTTTGAGGACATCAAATCATTTCAGTTTAAAGAAACTTTAATATGGAAGCTGGGGGATTTAAAAAAAAACAAAAGAACAAAAGGGGGTAAAAAAAAGTTGATGTAAGAAAATGTGCTTTGATGAGCAAAAAAAGAAGAAAATGAAGACGGGAACAGGGTCATCTTAATTAACGCTGTAACAGCAGAGTTGCGACCTCCTCCCTCATTGTTTTTCCACCAAAAACATTCTACGTGAATGTTCTTCCTTCATGAATAGTTAACACGGGCTACTGGTCTTTTATTTCCAATATACAGAGTAACAGAACTGTAGACCAAAGAAGTATAAGGATTTGTATAAGGAAGATAATGAGGTTTGATAAGAATTGCTGGAGTGTTACCAAAGCAGGAATTTAAGATAAAAGAATGATGCATCTAAAGCTGCATAGTAATATTTGTCCCCTACAGGGCTGTGTTGTGATTAGGAATCCATATTTTTCCATAAATTAGCTTTTCTTCTGAGTGTCCTGCTGTGCTCATATGCAAGTGGATAGTGTGCATCGAGTAGTTCCGAAATCCATTTACTAATGTTACTCTATTTCTTCTTCAAATAAAAGGGGATTTAAGGAATGCATGGCAAGGGATACTGACGCTTTAGTAAAAAGTAATTTCCACTTAAAACACCCCAGAGCTGATAAGGGTTGGTCTACAGATTAGTTGCTAATATGAGATTTCAGGATAGAACAGTGGTGCGATTCTCCTCCACAGCAGCAGCAACTGAAAGGAACTGCAGTGGATCTGTTCACGTGATGATGATACCCTTCCAGGTGATGACTCTGGTGCAGAAAAAAGGCTTTCTAAAGTGACAATAAACGGCTCATGCAACTTCACTGAGCAATAAACCACAAGCAAAACCTAACAAAACCCAAGGTGCCATATTTGATTTTTGAAGAGATCGCTGGATTGAACAAGAAAGTTCTTTAAGCCATAAGCAAATGCAGTATTCATTATGTTCACCTTTTTCTGGATCAGAAATTCAGAGAGATTAAGAGATGTTTTTAAGCCTCTGAAGAACAAAAGATCCTTTATTTTTACATCCAGAAGCTTATTTGTTATTGTTATTATTTTTTTCATGAGTGTGCTGCCTTTCTTTCTCGGCATTTTAATATAACTTCAGTGCCAAGAAATCCGCAGCAGGACTGGTAACACATATCCAGATGATACCGCAGGAAAAGTTGGCGGAGATAAATCTCCTTTATCTCTTTTTTTATCTTTGCAGCCCAGACGCTAAAGGTTACCAGAGAGCTGGCTTTGACTTACATCATAAAAAAGGCAAAACCTTCGTGCATTTATGTTTCCCCTGGGAAGAAGCTCTAAACCCTATGTCTACTTTCCAGCTGAGGAAAAAACATTTTAGCCGAAGTAAGCTGTGAAGATTTTATCAGTAAGAGAGCCTGTTTATACAAGCAGCCTCCATGGCCACAAGTGGGGAGAATCCTTTCAACAGTGACTCTAGACAGACATCCACTGTGCAAAACCACATTCTCAGGCTGTTAGTCTTTTTATTTCATGATATTCTCTCCATCATTTGTCAACGGCAGTTGTGGCCTGTTATGCTTCAGTAAGGTGCAATAATTCTAACCAAAACATCTGTCTCTAGAGCCCTAAAGATAACACCTCCCAGAGCAAACCTAGACACAAAAGACAAAATCTCCTAACCACACTGCGATTTTGCATCCCGGCTGACTCATTTTCCATCCATATCAAATATGATCACTATGCTCTCATCTACACATTTAGTCAAAACATCTGAGCTGACACATTGGGGCACACAGTCAAGATTTTAACTTGATTTGAATGCAGTGTGTAATCTAACACAGCAGCAGCAACAATAAAAGAACTAACAATGTGAAAGGCATGTTAACAACTTTGTTAAATTATTTTAAATGGAACTCCATCAGGTATGTTCGAGCCAAAAATTTAAATGGCTTTTATTAAAATCAAATTATCACTCTCTCATTGGGATTTACTGATTGTGTATCTCTCGGGGGATTAGGTATTTTGACAAATGGAGGGGGGGGGGAAAAAATTTAATGCAAGGTTAGAATTCTTGTTTGCTTGCAATACCGCCTCAGCACCAGAGTCGATTTGTTTTCTGAAGAAGGCATTGGTTCTCGCTGAACAAGCATCGGAGTGCCAGCATCACTGTCCCGTCTCCTGTGAAGAAGCGGACAAGGGGCTGCGGTAGTTACCTATGCAGTAAGAGAGCAGGATGGACAACAGGACGGAGACGCCGACCGCACTGAGGGCGGTGCACCTCCAGGAGCAGTACTTCGACGACTTCTTGAATTTAAATGCACTTCTGGAGAGCGTGTTCCGAGGCAAGGGCCGGGTTGGCGGGGAGTAGACGGCCCCGGTCGCCATCGTGTAGCCTGGGGTGGCTGTGCTGAAGAGAGGTGTTGTGCCCGTGCCTGTCTTAAAGAGGAAGTGCCTGTAAGACAACACGACAAGTAGAAGCATTTTGAATGGTAAATAAGGCGCTCAATTCGCACGACACAAAAAAAATAACAGAAAGTCTGGTCACACACTGCTTAAGAAATGAGGTCTCGCAATCTGGTTTCAGTGTCATTCCACTAATTATTTTATAACAGATGAGGAAACCTGATTTATTTAGTCTTAAAGAAATCCCATGCTGTCCTTTGGTACAACTATGATTGACTAATAGACTATTGTACCTACGATAATTAACGAGGTCAGCTATTTTAATCGAATGCATTAGTTGGCTGCTTTCTATTAACTTTTTTACCCCTGTGAAAACCAACACATTTGATAAATTAAAACCTTGGTGGTTTCTTTTCTATCCCACCACCACTGATCTAATAGCTTAAGGTTCTGGGTTAAAAGTAAGGTCTGGACAATTAAACCTGATCCCCTAATTCAAATTTAACACTTTTGACAGGGGATTGCAGGTCTGAAGCTCGACTACGCATCTCTTGGGAAGAATAACAGCTGGAAAATAAAACTACCATTATTAAAACCATCAATTTGACTACTTAGCAGTTTAAGCCTTCTGAGACATGCTTTCATTTTTTTCTTAAGTTTTTATACCAGTTATTCCCTTAAGAATTTACAGGGTAGAAACGCAATTTAAAGAATCAGCTTATTTAAATATGGTATGCTCATATTTATTTACCTTCATTACATCTCTTTTAATTTGCAAAACAAAACCTCAAAAATTGCAAAGTTAAGCAATTCTCAAAAACAGAGACATTGGAAAATGAAGCATAAGGACATTAAACAATGTAACAAACAAGAATGATTCTAGCTGTGATATATTACTGAGCATTTTAATCCAATTGTGCTTGCCGTAAAATAAGTAAAATGTTTGGCTTGAGTTTCAAAATGGCATACCTAGCTGGTATTTGACTAAAACAAAAAGTCATGTAACTACTATGATTTTATATTTACTGTATATACTTTGTGTAGTTTTGAAAATGCTGAGTATAGCTCTAGGTTGCAAGGAGACTACATAAACTACTACATAAACTAGAACTATTATTTTTCAAACAAAGAAAACAGCAGTATGTTGAAATTCCTAATAGCCATATAACTGCGAAGATTTGCATCTTTAGAATGAAAAAAATGAAAATGTCTGAAACGACTATTTTATGAAGTACCAGTGTTTACAAATAAAGATTTTCAAAAATGTTTTATAAAATTGAACTCAGATTTATTTTTTCTAGATACTGTACATGCCTATCCCATTTAAATGGTATTGGCTTGAATTAGCTAATTAGTTGTCAGAAGTTTGTCAGCCAAAATAAAAACATTTCCTTTGCACATGTTCACAGATGTTGTATATAGAAGTTGCACGGACATTCCTGAAGAAGTTTACCTTCAAAAATGCTGTAATTTCACAAGTCGATAGCTTGCAACTCCTCACATACCGGTTCAATAAGGGTTGTTTAAACTTTACAACACTGCCCCAAGCCTTTGTTGAAATTAGCAATCGCCTAAATGCTCCTTTGTTTGGGCCTGCTTGTGACATTTGTGAAAGAAAATTCTGAAACTGTGTGTCATGTGCAATTACATGAAAAAAGTTACCGCAGTGTGTGGCAGGGCTAACTTTTTTAAAAGTACTACAGGCCAGATACGGTGCTGCCCTACATTAGCTCTTTTCAAAATTGTCATTCAAACCAGGCACAGCAGAAAGCTGCTGGAGTTCACTGTTGAAACTGTAAACCAGATTTAGCAGGTAATGATGCAAAGCCTTCCAACGCATTAAAAAATGCACATCTCATCTATATTTTTGTCTGCATGTTCTACTTGCATGCATTTTGTTTTATGAGCTATTATATGTGACAAACCAATTAGCATTTGTATGCCAAATGGAAACATTACCGCTATGCCATCTAGTGTAATTCTCAAGGAGGAATAAAGAGCAATAAAACAACGCTGGCATTAGAAAAACAGACGGCAGCGAAAATAGGCTTCGTCCTGAAACGCTCACCCTAGAATCATTATGTAGGATTTTCTAGGCTCAGTGTTGATATTTCAGCATCAGCAGCTAGTATCATGTGAACACTTAGAAGAACATACCCATCCCCATAACCGCCATCGTGGCACGTTGGAGTAAATACATCCATCTCTATAAGGTTGTCATGCCCATTTTCGAGAACTGCTTGCTTTGCTAATTTTCTACACATGGAAATGAGATACAGAGACACACAATTAGCACGTTGGTATTCAGGTTTGTAGCAGTTTCTCACAACAGCACCCCGGTTGATTGACCAGGTGTCCTCACCCAGTCATTGGTCTGATGAAACAAAACCAAATCACAACAAAAAAAACAAGAGAAAATATTTATGGGAAAGGTGGGGGAGGAGGGGAGTCCCCTGAGAGGTGAAGCCTCAAATTCCAGTTGTGACTCATAAGAAGCTGAAAGCAGTGGTCTAACCACGCGTAAGCAGAGTCAAGACATAACTGAGATTTCTTATTTTCAAAAGAAAATTCTTTAGGCCATTAACAACAACCCCCTGAAAGAGAGGCTCAGCTGAACAGACTGAAAGAAAATAGTTTGTCTGAAACGAGAGACAACAGGACAGCCTGAAGGGTTAAGAATGATTTTTCAGAATTGTGTAGGAAGCCTGAGTGGATTATAATGGCCACTTAAAAACAAATATTTTCCCTTTTGCACTCCAGATTTAGTGCCAGGCTTTGGTGTTTAATCTGCTGTATTTTGCATTTTGGTTAAGAAACAGCCATGCAGTAAGCCTAAAACCTAAGATGAGACCATTAATAGCTTGTAACAGAGAGAGAACATTATTTGCTAGGAGTCCTTAAGAAACCTTTTCCTTAAAAATCACACAGCTTTAAATGTGTTATCATTTTGAGATTTTCTAAATAAAACTTATGAGGGAAGTCGGTTCTTTAAATCATGAATTGTGAGGTGTACTAAGCAGGTAAATGTTATCTGCAACCCACATAAATGCAACTGTACGTGGACATCTTGTTTTTGTTGTGCAAAACTTTGCTCTGAAATGGCTAGAGTACTGCAGGTTTGATAGTACCATTTAAATTGTCAAAAATGTAAGATTTGAGAAATTAGCCAACTAAGCAAAATAATTAATTCCATTAAGTGATTAAGATCCCAGATGGAGAGGGGCCAAAGGACATTTTTATCCCGGAAAGGAGCTCTCTACACCCTCATGCTATTTCATCCCAACAGGAGCCAAGAAGAAGAAGAAACTGATATCATGTGTCTGTAAGCTCTTTTCTTGAAGGCAATAATATATTTCAGGGTTCAGGGTTGTTGTTAATAAGTTTTGCATCTCTCCAGACTACCTGGGCTCAGCTTCACTGACACAACACTTTGCAGCTCATACAGTACAGCTGATGTGGTGCATAGCCATTCACGTGAACTCTGCTATACTATACACTCTCTGGTGTCGATCAGCATATACCACAGTAACTTCCAAACGTGTCCAACACTGTGCAACATGACATACTGTAGAACTACGTCGGGCAGAAGTTAGTTCTACAGCAAGCAGAAGCAACGGGATTGTTTGGGAAGTGGAAGTCCATGTAAGCCTACAAAAACAAGCAATTTTTTATTCTATTGTAATTACTTCAATAGCTTCATGCATGCTGATCCAAGAAATGATCCATCAGGCGAACTGGCAATAATGGGGAGAACCAAGCCAGGATCCGTCTGGAAACGGATAAAAGAAACGGTAACAGCAGAGCAAGGCGGATGCTGGCCTGTGCTGGCTCTGGGTCAGGCCTTTGCACAGCAAGGAAACAGGACTAAAGAATCCTGCCGTGGAAATACACCCAGAGAGCATGAGAGACTGAGAATCAACCACTGAATAATAATAATAATAATAATAATAATAATAAAAATAATTTCTTATTTGATGAAATCCCACAAACTACAGTACAAACCACAAAAAAAATCAACTCTGGAAGGGAACAAAACACTCAGTCTTGCAATACATGGCATCATCTGAAACTGAATCAGCCTGTTTTTATACACCTTGGTGAGCACACAAATTGGTTACCAAGTTTACGGAGGCCACTCCAGCAAACAACCCATTAAAAAGAAATATTATGTTTATTTTTGCCCCCAGCACCACTACAGAACTCAGTTCAAAATAACATTTATCAGAGGACGTGGTACAGATCTGCCACAGTGCGTTATGCCACACAGATGCAGTGGAGTGCACAGGAAACGTGCCGAGAAGGATCTTCGTGTTTGTATTGCGGGAGCACGGCCTTCATGCCCAACAATTTCTGGGCCTGGAAGAGGTGGCAGGATTACAGATATAAACTCAGCTCTGGATATTACAGCATTGCGAAGAGGTTAATTAATATCATGTAATATCCCGGGAATTCTCATGAGTTAGCAAACCTTTGGAGCTTTCAAATCCCAGAGGGCAAGGCTGGCCCATAGTGAAGAAAGAGAGGGTTCTGTGGGGGGGGGGGTTCCTTTCTGTTTGATGCTGAGTGGTTAGCTGCGGAGGTATATTTAAAGCCCGAGAGAATGGCTCAGTGAGGTATCCCGGCTGAGCTGTAAATGCCCTTGGCCTGAGTCCAGGGCTCTTGCGGACTGGTGTCTTCGTGGACCGCTCCTCGGGTTTGGCCGCCGCCGCACACAGAGCCCCCACTGGAACGCAGCACCTTAACTTCCCTTCGTTAAACTGCAGCCCGCAGCTTGTTCTCTCGGTGCTGGGGAGCAGCAGCAGATCCCCAGAGCAGAGCCACGCCGAAAAATGACCTGGGGATGACTGTGGACATAACTCACAAGCCCAGCAATGCAGCCTCACAGCTTAAGTCTGGTGTTTTATTTCCTTTATCTCCTTTCTGTCCCCCAAGCCCGTCTTCACTCTGTGGGTGACAGTCTCCGCAGTCTCCTGCTGCGCCCCAAAGCTCTGGAACTCTATCCCCAAGGACATCAGAGAGTCACCTTCCCTGAGCCCTTTCAAATCTAGACTCACTTTTGGCCCTTTTTTCAAAAGGGCCTTTATTTAACTGGCTCTGTGTGCCCTTTGGCTTTCCTGGCGTATTCTGTACCACGTCTACTATCAACTCTCAATGTGTACCTTCTGTTTGTTGTTCTGTAAAGAGCTTTGAGAAACCACTTTTACAGGCAGTGTAAAAAGTTTATTATTATTATTTTGAAAAGAGCATATTTAAAAAATATCAATGAAGAATTGAACACGCAAGAGTGAAAGATATCCAAAAGTCCAACCTCCTTTGAACCTTCAAGAAATGACCGTATGAAAACTTTGCATCAGTAAGCTACTACAGTTACATTACATTACTGTCCCTCTTGTTTGTAACCTTTCCTGGGTTTCAGTTCTTCTTCTGTCTGTCACACTATTGCTTATTAACAAATCAAGCATCACAAAATAAATGACTGACCAGAATTCATATTACAACGCATAAGCTTAATGATATACAGTAACAAAGAAATTAAAAGGAAACAGGTGGTTTTGTAACACTGTTGGAACAGTTATTGGGATACATACAGTACACTGAAGCAGCAGAGTTAGAGCAGAGCTTATCATGTACATTAAAATTTACATTAAATTTACATATCATGTACATTAAAATTAAAATTAAAAGAAACACTTCCTTAGGCATACGTTGGGACAAATCAAAGGAAATAGACCAGACATGGCTTTTAAAGAAAAAGCAATTCACTATTTTTACAATTCACTAATTCACTATAAGTACTACACTGTTTTCTGTGATTTTACACTGCAAATGTAATTTGGACAATGCAGCAAAGTGTTAATATATTTATAAAACAATTAAGAGAAAAACCTTTAAAGAATATAGTGTTGTGGATGATAGGTTATGAAAAGTACATCCTTATTGTTTGTGCATTTCTCCCTTAATGGCAATTCAGGTTGATTAAATCTCTTTTATGTTAGCATAAACTGTTTTAGGTTTAATTGACTTTTACCATCTCATACAGTTTCTCCAGTTAAGCGAGATCCTCTGTCAAGAGAGTTTTTTGGATCGCTTTTCTTTAATAAGGTGGAACTCTATTTGAAAATGGAACTATGCTTTAAATTTGGCTCATATCCTAATTAAATCTGGTGCCTAAAGAGCTTGAAATAATAAGCAATAAAAGTGTATTGTATGCAATTTATTCTAAAAGCACATAAGACAGCCATGAATCTAAATAAACTCCTAAAAATTAGGCAAAATATGCAAATTATATTATGAGCATTTCCTATTAGAAATAGAACCGAATAAACAAACTTTTAATTCTGCTTCACATATATTTAGTCAAGGCAAGTGCAGATAGATCTCCCCAAATCCTCAGAGAAGTCAAGATATTTTAGATCTTCAGTAGGCCTATCTTCCCTGAACTGAGCAGATTAAATTTTTTGGACAAGATTAACAAATACCGTAACTGTGTAAACGTCTGAATGCAAACAGACTGGATGACCGTTTATAATTGATTCGAAATGCTGTAACTTTGAGAAGCAAATTACTATGCTAATCCAAATATCCCTTTTCATGTTTCTGAATGTCGTTCTTGAACAACTGACAACAAAGAATTTGTTTTATATGGACTCCGAGTGTCGCAGTCTCTCAAAGCGCACAGCACTTCACTGTCAATAGCTCAATGTTTTCGGTATTAAAGTACTGTAGATAAAAAAAAGTCTAAACTGATCCTCATCAGCACTTTAAGGGAATGCAGACATGGGACTAAGTAGTGGCTTGATACAAATTACTTAAAGATGTACAATTTAACTGTAATACAACAATTAAGGGTCACAGTAATTAAAGTGTTAAATGGAGACACACATGACACAGCTATTCAGGCATTCATTCATGTACAGACTGAAGGCCCAAGCAATACCGCATGGAGAAAGACGCTGTTGTGCCTTTGCTTTTCACAAACACCTGCCTGGGCTCTTTTTGAACGCATGTAGCAGGTGCTGGCCAAATGCTCCTACAGTCCTGCAGTACTTTAAGACGATCCCCTAGTGTGTTACTGTTGCTGCTAATAGAATAATTGGATTTTCCATGGTGTATTCCAAAGTGAAGGAGTGAATAGTTGTGCGGTTGTCTATTTGTTGCCTTTGGGCACACACAATGCTGTGTAGAGAGATGCTGTAAACTACTCTGAAAGAAGAAGGCAACCTAAAAAAGGGGTTAGAAAATATGTCAGAATAAACTCATTATATCATACGGTTTTATGCGCACAGTTAACACACATTTTTTAGATCTGTCTTAACCTAAAAGTTGTCATTTGTACTGGGAGACCAAAGATGCACTGATCAAAAAATATCCATAAGATGTTACTGCAATCAACCAAGAGAACAACATATGTTTTTATTGTATTATTAAAGGCATTACCCGTTTTGAAGTGCCTCTTTGTTGTTAAGATGTATACAGTAAGAGCAAATACAGAGAAAAGCATCATCTGAGACAAAATTAAGATTCTGCTTAATTAGAACCTTTATGCAGACAAAGGGCTTAAGATTCTTGGCTAACGATAGTGATCAGGACTTACTGCTTATTTCTCCTCATGAATTATTTTTAGTACAATATCATATTGTTATATGTTCCCTTTCCAGTGTCCAAAGTGCATGCTGATACAGCAAAATAATATAGTTAGTTTATAAAATACTGTGTTTCAGCAAATAATTAAAACAACATAACATATGGAAAAAAAAACACTACAGCATGCAAGGAATACAAACGTACCTCTCGGGTAGTCGTAAAGACCATTTTACGTAGAACAGCTTTTAATTTTTGCCCAGTTTTATCTTACACACTTCTAACATGCATGCAGACGTGCGCTGTCCCTGCATCAAGAGGTTCATGCAAAGATTCAAAACCCCTAAAAATACAAGGAATCTAAAAAAGGAGATGAGAATTGTGTGGGATGTGCACTTTCACAATGAATCTGGGATTAAGAATGAGTCAGATACAAGTGGTATAATGTACAGCACACTAAATCAAAACCATAATACTGCAAGCTGTAGTGAACTCTCAGCATTATCTACCTATCAAGGAATGCCCACTCACATTTGGTAACGGAAGAGATAAAAAAAATGTTGAAAATGAAAAAATAACCGTTTAGTTTCGTCTTTCTCAAGTCCTAGAAACCAGTCCTAGAAATTGTGAATGCAGTAACTGACTCTTAACAGACTCCTAGCAAATCAGCATCCAACATAAACCACAAATCTGTCTCCTGCGCAATCTTCTTTACAGTGAATCACGAGCCGGAAGAGGGAAGTGCAAAGTGCAATCATAAAATGCAAAACGAAGAGTTGTGGCTGCATGGAACAAACCACTCAGTCATGCTGTCAAAGCCTGGGATCCTTCACGAAACAGCTGGAAAAGATTCTTGGACCAATTAGCTACTGCTGGTATGTTGTTCTGGGCACGTCTAACCTACAGTACTGTAGGTTACACAGCCAATTTCCAAAACGGGTCTAACCAAAGTCCAAACTAGTAAATATCTTTTCAGCTGGGGTAACTCCAGAACATGGGTACAGCTCAGAGCTTCAGAGAAGAGTTCAAGCAATGCCTTGCTAATTAAACTGCTCTGATTTATGGTATAGAATTTCCAAAGATTAAAGCTCAACTGATATCAGCAAATTAATAAATGCAATGCAGGATAGAAACCAAAGATGATTTTGGTCTGTTGTTCAGATTCACACATCTTGCCAGCGGGTGTGTTGTTTCCAATTCTAAGCATTGAGATTAGCAACCCACAGTTTGGCTGTCACTAACAGCTTTCCATTCCACATCACTGAACGGGTATCCTCCTGGACACAAATCTTTGTTTAACTAATTTTAGTAATTATGAACTCAAGGTATGTGTGCAGGTTTCACATGAGTTATACAATTGATAAGGAAAAGTATAGATGCACAATATGACGAGATAGAGCAAATTGGACACTATTCTTTCATTTATTCATATTTTACATATTTAATCACGGTTGTGTAAACAATACCATTGAGCCAACAGAATAAAATACTTCATGTCACATCATAAAAAGATAATTAAATGTTCTTTTTAAAAGGCTATGCTCTAGCCATACAATCCAATGACATGTATTTTGAACAGTTACGGTTAAACACTACACACAATTTCCATATATAACTTACAACTTCAATACAAAAGGAGAGGAAAACCAGATGTGGTATTCACAGAGTGCAACTGCAGAATGAGTCTCCCTCACTCGAGTATTATGAATTAAAAACGAGGAGGCCATCAGGCACATATAGCCCATTTGGCATTTAGGAGCTAAGTGATGAATGGATCTTATCTAGCTGTTTCTTGAAAGGCAGGGTATTAGCTTCAGCAGCACAGATGGGCAGCCTGTTTCACACTCCCACAGCCCTCTGTGTAAAGAAGTGCCCCCTGTCCCAGTTATAAACGCACTTTCACTTATATCCAATTTCTGTCCTGTGGTCCAGGTTTTCCTGTTTTGAAGACGTAAGCAGGGTTGTCAATGCCTTTAGTGCCCTTTTAAATCTTGGATCAGGTCCCCTCACAGCCTTCGCTGTTCGTGGCTAAAAAGGTTCAGTTAGGAGAGGACATTTCTGTAAGTCCCTTGCAGTTAAAAACCTTTCCAGTAAGAATAATTTCAGAACGTGAAACTAACCTGCTATTTCACTATTTCAGTGTTAGCATTGTCAGAAACATACACAGCTGTCAGTCACACTGCATTCAGAACTAATTCCAAAAGCAGTAGCTTTACACTCAGGGGTGGCCCCGGCCTCATGCTGGTGGTTGTGGGGGAGTGGTCCGAGTGTGGAGTTGAAGGAAATGTGGGATCAATCCTTGGGTGGGGGGTGGAGAGGACACGTCTTCCAGCAGACGCCCTTATTTGCACAGCTGAAGAATAACACTCCAAAAATATTAAGCCTAAGAATAGAGGGAGGGGTATATGGAAATTATATTCTGTAGAAGATGACCTTAAAGAGAATTAGTTTTACTTTTAATAGCTATAAAAGGGCGTCTTTTTAAAATTTTGTTTTTAAAAACCTTAACGTACACCTCCAGGTGAATGATGATTTTGTTTATTTTAATTAGCAGGAATAAAACTAATTTTACCTGTATCCCCGAGTACAGTCTACTTAATGGCATTTGTAATATTAAATAAACATTCATATTTTCCAAAAATTTATCAAAGTTGTCGAATGGAAAGAAAGGACTGATTTTTTAGCACTAAAAACTGCAAATGGTTGCATATTAAATGAGCACCATCTCACAGGCAGGCATATATTGAAATATTAAACACATGCTAGACTACTGAAACCATATACAGTATAGTACCATAGAGCTGAGTACAAATGGCATTCATTTAGTGAAAAAAACAGGAAAAAGAACAGTATGCAGATCAGCCTCACCGCCATGTGGATTGTCATGTGGAAATTGTTGGAAATTTAGAATATGCATTTTTGTTTACGTCTAACCTGTATTAAGATCAGAAATTAACACGATTACATTACATTAATTAACATCAGTTTCCTTTTTTGAAGAAAGCTTTTGGTTGTCTATTTTGCCATAATTCTTTATCCTTTTTTTAGAGACATAGGGAAACTGCAAACATTCTAGTACACCTGTTTAAAAAAATGCTACCCAACTTCTTACACAGAAAATAGTTAAACTTAAGAAAACATACCATTAATATTATCACTTTAAAACACTTGCTGTTTATACACCAAGGCATTGCTTGAAAACCCGTTTCAAGAAAGGCTTGTCGATTAGGAAAGCTGTGATTTCATGACTTTTCTGTTTTTTCTTTTCATTCAGACACAGCTACACTCGTAGCCAAAGTAAACTCACTGACTTGAGGCAGAATGTCATACAACCTTTTTCTTTGGCCATATTAGCAGAGGTACATACTGCTGTTAACAATGCATGTCTGCATGTTATTTCATCCATATTCAGAAGAAAGTCAGTCATCGGGCCATTCTAGGACATTAAGCATTTAAGCACCTGGCATTTTAAAAGGAGAAAAGACATCTGATGGAAATTATGGTAGCCACACCATAATTGGTAGCCACACCATAATTCTCTATAAGAGAAAGCTAAAAGATCTTTTAAAAGGAAGTGCCTTTTATCTGCAAACGAGTTTACTGTGGTATACTGAAGTAATAACACAGAAAACACTGAGTCACTGTAAACCAGGCAATGTATAGCATAGCCAAGGAAATGGTAATGAAGACAGTAAATGCACTGTTCCAAACAAGAATGGGAGAAGAAAAACTCATTGTTAACCTCGTAAGAGCCATAACCCCTCTGACTCTTTCAAAAGTCACTCCCCACCTCCCCCACTCCCATCTGAAAGAGGTTTGCATGCTGCTGTCACTAAGTCCCTGCATCGTTAAAAGCTGGAAACGGTTTTAATGGGGGTTTGATGATTAGTTATGGTGCTTTAGTGGGAGGGTGGGCTGGCAGACGGACTCGACACACTAAAGAGAAAATGCATTAGTACTCTCACACCAAACCTCCCGGCAGCAATCGAGATCTGATGCTAATAACAGGAGCACACAGGCCACTCGGCGGCATTCTTTACATTTAAGAAGATCTTTTTCATGTGTGCATCGCATTAATGCTTCCTTTACCGCCGTGCATGCATGTCTATCTATAAGCGAGCACAGGCTTTCCCTTTCCAGACCTCCCCGTCCGGCACGCCCGCCCACGGGAGGGCGGCGAGGAGCCTCCGGAGCTCCGGGGAGACTCCCGGTGTGGAAGCCACTGACCTGCTTTCCAGAGGCACATTGCTGCCCAGGACCCAGCTGTCCTGCAGCTGGACGGATTCAGGTGTGGTTTGCAGCTCGGCGGGCAGGGCGGCCGGAGGGGCCGGGCTTTGGTTCCTCCGACTCGTCAGGGAGTTGCGGTTCAGAGAGGTGACGGATGGGTGCGCCTGGGCTGGGTGAGGCTTGTGGGGAGGAGGGATGGGCTGGATCGCGGGCGGGCCTTGGTGGTGGTTGGGGGGTTGTTCTGCTCCAAAACACGAGACAAAAAAGAAACACAAGGGGAACGTTAACCGTCATGGCCTGCAGGCGACCCGGCTGGAAAGAGCATGAATAACGATGAGGCAAAATCAGATTTGGCACCAACATACAGTACAGCCCCTGTCCCTTCCAATCAAGCGCACTGCGTTAGGCAAATGTATCTGGATATCCACGGGCGTCATGACAGGGCCACATCTGGACCAACGTGTGAGAGACTGCCGCTCAATCTGGTTCACCTGGGACCTCCCCACCACCCCCCCCCCCGCAAGCTGCAAAAAACGTCAGCCAGTTCACCTGCTGCACAGAACAAAAACTTGCGAGGGTGAAAAATAAAAGCGATTTCCAGGCCGTTGCGTAAAAAAAAAAATGCTGCCGTTTATACCTCTAGCCAAAGGCGCACTCTAAAATTAGTCCAGCCTTCTATCCAGACTCCAAGCAGTTGTAATGAGTAACATATCAACATATTCACTGAATGAATGCTCTGTGTTCTTTACCAGAAGGTCATTCAGTAAAGCAGATGTTTCTTTATGGGTGCTTAACAGAATGTTTCACATCTGATTACAGCTGAAAAGACTCATATAACTAATGACCTTAACATCCATTAGGCCACATAAAGAACAGGTTTTTCAATTTCACACAGAACTGTATAATTACCTTCTACAATGACACGTTGTGATCATCACCTAATCCTCTCTCTCTCACTCTCGCTTTCTTTTTGAGGCAAAACCACGATGCATAAATAAGTACTTCACTTCAGGGGAATAATAATAGAGGGAAAAGAACTGATGAATTAACGAGAACAATCATATGGATTTAAATGTTTCCCCATTTTACCGTTATTTTTAGATATACTGTATCATAGAGGGGACTAAATGGATATTAATAGATACTTAATGGATATTTTAAGGACTTTAATAATAATAATAATAATAATAATAATAATAATAATAATACAAAAAATAAAATAAAAATAAAAATAAATAAGTTGTTGCCAGATGTTATACTGATATACTGTAGCGCTTTAGAGGACTTGGAATACGGAAGATGACGTGCATCTTCAGGGCCCACCAAAACGGCCTACAGCAGTGGCCTGGTTTTCTTAGGTGGTCTCCCACAGCAGCACTGACGGCGCCCAGTCGAGATTTCCTTTTGAGATCTAATGGCTACAAGGAGTTTATACTGCTGTTTAAGACACACGAAAAGGGTTTGGTAGTAGAGTGGAAACCCTTACTTTCTAAATATGTTTTCTGTTTCTCATGTGAACACAAGGAACAAAAGGCATTTAGTTAACAAATGACAAATGAAATGAGTTGGTAAGCCGAGCTAACAAACCTCTTTTCTAGCCATCTGTGAATATTTTCTTTTTTAGTTAAGAACTGTGCAAAATCAATCTATATGAGACAACAGGAAAATAATACCTTTAAATTATCATGATTATTTTTTTACACAAGCCTTTAAAATAAAGTAAAATTAAGCAGGAACTTAAAATAGTTTATATAACATTCATACATGGAGGATATACCTTTTTGCAATTAGCATTTGCAATTTTAAATTCTGATACGTTACACAACGCTTTTAAAATGTAAGTGAATTACATTCATTGAAACCAGTTTTTCTAAGTAGTGAAAAATACAGATGTGAATTAAAGCTGTTTACACTGAACACAGCGAAAATTCCAGAACATTTGCACCTTTGTTAAAATATTTATGCATTTGCCTATTTCTTTAACATCACATACTGTATTTCCTCTCTGTAGTAATCTTTCCATATACACATGCAGCTGTAATCTTTGTGACTGTATTCTGGATCATCCTCAACATGTGCAACGGGTAACTGCTGCTTCTTATTCCATAAAGCTTTAGCTCCTATAATCATCCAAATGCATTTCCTGGATTCAGGTCAAATGCCCTACAGTATGTGCAAATTGTGGCTTTATCTTGTGCTTGGATGAAGCATTTTCACACAGTCAGTCTGATCATATACAAAGAAAGTGAACCAAAGATTCTAATTTTCACCCATTCATGGTCTCGCAACTTCAATAGATAAATACTATTCACTCCGAGAAGTGGGTTGTATTTATTTTTACTCCCACACTTTTCTACAAAGTGAAAACACTGATTGTGGCATAATGGGGGGACCTACTGTTCTCTGTAAAACCTGCCAACGAACCTTCGGTGTTGTCAGGAGACAGAAAGGAAGCAGAACAAATTAAGTTGCAAGAAACAACTCTGCTTGCCAACGTCAGACTAAACCCGGCCCTTGTAACTGTCTGAGGCAGCTCTCGTCACGTTTGCATCGCCACCGCAGGAAAAACAAAGGTAAAACACTTTTCACGTGGACCAATTCCTCTGGCTCACTCTTTGTAACCCTCCAAAATGTGACTTCTCTGCAATGTTCCCTGGACCAGAGGGGATGCAGGATGGGACATCTTGTGGTGATCACCAATGACACAGAGACAACGAGCTTTCCTATGCAGTGGAGCACATTGCACGGCCCCAGAGACAGCAGAGTGGGGAAGCGTCGTCTTCTCTGACGCCGCAGCAGTTCAGCTCGGATGGAAGTTTTGTCCTTGTCAGTGTATTTTGTTATGAAAACACACTCGGCGTCTCTCCCGTGAATAGCACGAATAAAAGGTTCTGAAACATTCCTCTACATGAATCAAAGTAAATGCATGCTTATTATTTAGATTTTATTCTGCATGTCGTTTTGAACTTACTCTTAAAATTAATTAGGCAAGAAATCCAACCGCGAGTCTCTGGTACTTAAGCTATAAGGCCCTGTGTGCACAGCTGGAGGGGTGGGGGAGTTGCAGGGCAGAGGAAGGGGAAGTCATTTACCTGAGATTCGCTCTTGCACTACAAAAAAGAAACAGTACAGTACGTGTCTTTCAGTACAACAGCCTACAAAACTCTATGGAATTAATGCACTTTCATCGCAGTGCGGAAAACCCAGTTGATTATTTAGGAAGCATGACCATGCATGAGCAACCCAACACCGTGGAGCCAGGGGACTGTCTCCCATAGGGCCAGAGGATCCAGCAGCAGACAAGATCCCAAAAGGGAATGCTTGCAGAACACCCCAGGGGCAGGAAAAGAAAAGGAAGACAAAAAAAAAAACCCAAAGACTTCTTTCATCTATGGCCAGAGAAAACTACTTGATGAAACTAGGTACTGTATAATCTCTCAAGTCGACCTAAGGAATTGCTTCAGGTTCAACAGTGGAAGACATACCGGAGGACACAAGTGGAAACTGCAGGGAAGTGCAATAAAGTGAGAAGCCATTCCTTACACAAAGAACCGCAGGAATATGGCAATAGCTACCCAGTGTATCTGAAAGAAGGCCTGGAGTCCATACCAGGGCTTTGTTTAGATATGCTTACCTTGAGAATTGAGGGGCAAAAAGGCCCTCTCACTGGCTACCTTTCTTCTGTTCAGAAAAGTAAATTATGCCATAGACATTCTCTTCGACAGAATATTAACTGTTTGCACAGCAAAGTTAAGATTTTGAGCTATCCACATATAGTGTACTATATATCGGAAGCAAGCTGTATCCAGAAAAAAAAGCATGACAATTCTAAAACTAGCAAGATTTTCACTTCTGATTTAGTCTGAACAAATGCTAATGCTGTCTTCCAGGGAAGTTAAATTAATAATGAAACAGTGCCTTTTGAGTTATTTTTAAAAACATAAATTTTCTCTAAAAATTTCAGGCAACTTCTAGGTAATCCATTTTGACATTTATATGTTACTTTCTCTGGAAAATGCTGCCATAATTTACAAGAGACAGAAAGTAATACTGCAGAGAGTTTTGTGGAAGCTTGGCCTATTAATAATTAATAATGCAGATCAAAAACTACTGTAGGTAACGTAGACAAACCTAATGAAATTCAAAGTATATGAGGTAATCCATCAACATTGTACTGTAAGTCACAGACAAAAAATAAAATCAGAGACTTACAGACTGCATTGCTTATATGTATACACATTATTATTTGTTTAAAGTTAAAGCTGTGAACAAACTTTAGATGAGAAGTGAAGTATCAAAATTATATTTTTCTAACAGTAAACACAAAACCTTCAGGGAGATAATTTCTTTAAAAGCAATGTTTTACACAAAAGTTTTTTTTACCAATATATATTTTCTTTTCCAAAACGAACACGTTTATATGATTTTATCAGGCTTATACAGTAGCTCAACAGCAATGGCTACTGAAAGCTAACATACTAGAGAATAATTCAGGTATAAGTAATGTGACCATCTTCAAAAATATCATCATTTGAATTTCCATTCAGTAATTACTAGAGTTAAAATTATTTTATTATACTAATTATTACTATTATACTAATTAATTATTTGTAATAAGTATCTTCTAGCACTCAGGAGGGAGTGAAAATGTGTTGGCTTGGGTTACTGACAATCTTTTCTGTAAATAGTTGAAGTGATTGAATAAATCAAAGTTCAATAAAACGTCTAAATACATTTGGGTGCTCCTTTTCACGGTGTTGTAAACAGCACGAAACACTGCATACAGATTTAGATAATTATAGCAGAACTGTGCCGCCCACCCTTTATCAGAGCGCTATTTGAATATATGAACTGGCTTCATCACTCTGCTCTCCTCCCCACTGATAGCTGATGTGTGGTGAGTGTTCTGGCGCACTATGGCTGCCGTCGCATCATCCAGGTGGGGCTGCACACTGGTGGAGGTGGAGGGGATCCCCATTACCTGTAAAGCGCTTTGAGTGGAGTGTCCAGAAAAGCGCTATATAAGTGTAAGCAATTATTATTATTATTATTTGTCCTAGTGAGGGCCATGGCAACCCGGTGTCTGTCCCATGAGCTCTGAGTGCAGAGCAGGACTGGGAGAGCCCTGAGCTGGACACCCCTGGTGCCACCCTGAGACCTGCTCCAGCCTCTCCCCTCCTGGCACCCGAAGCCCAGAGAAAGGAAAGAAAAACAAGTTGCTTCCCCTCTGATGACAGAGCCCTTGTGACGTCACAGGCT